ATGGTTCAACATTTGCACCCCTGTTTCATGGAAATGCAACTCGGCATGAAAGAGATATTGACTACTTGGCACCCAAGAGGTACCATTTGCCGATCTTGGCTACGGGAGGTAGCTTTTTTTGTAGGAACAGATTCGTGATCTGACTGAATACATCGAAATATAAAATATCACAAGTTTCCACCCCTTTCAGCCAGCTTCGTCTTTTGGTGCCACCAGAGCATCACTACGTAAATGTAAGGTAACAATTAATATTTGTTCCAACGCTGAGTTTCAGTCCGCTAAGACTAAGTGCAGGGTCGAGCCTCTCGAACTTTAAACTATAACATTAATATAGGAAGATCCAGATTATCACCTACTGAGCGGGGCCGTGGCGAATGCTTGTTCCGTAAGTTGTTGCTCTTAGTATACATCTTCTCGTTCAAGTAATAGCACACGCGCTAACGAATACCTCAGTGCCAATTGCGGTACAAATCCGCTAACGGGCCACCTTAGGCCTTTTCAACACCGTTATTAAACAAAAAGGAAGAGGTAGACAAGGACCATTCGACCGAGTCGCTACCATCCGCTAACTTATTTCAGAGTGTCTTATAAATGTACACATTCTTCTACCCGTAAGCTACTATCTGCAGCCACATCGCTTCACCATGTTTTTGTGGTGGAGACCAAAATCTCCGTTCTGCCCCGACTAACGATCCTAGTCTTCCGAACTACGAGGTGCCCCTCCATTTTGAGGAAGCATGGTGCAGTTGTGGATTTTGTCAGCGACAGTCTCTCCTGCTCCAGAGACGTCTTTCCGCGATTAGGCTGGAAGGACCCTCTGTGGCTCCGGCTCAACACCAGACCAACCCCGAAATTTGTTTGTTGCCTGTTACGCTCCCTCTCGGACCACAACTGGGATGACCTACTTGTATACCCCGCTGACATGATCGAATCCTTGAACGTCTCATAAGTAGTTATCCTCGGAGACTTAAACGCTGATAGTCAACCCTGGTTGGGATCAAAGAAGACCGATGCAGCGGGCATTCGCCATCAACCAAGGAGTGACCCAGCTGCTGACGAACCCTACTTTCCTTCCGCGCGTTCGATCATATGCCAGTAGTCTGCTGGATCTCTTTATGATCACACATCCGGGCCCTTTCAGCACTGTTGTGCGATCTTCGCTGAGTAACTCGGACGATGGTGCTGTAGACGTCAGGTTTCAGTGACGCCCAAGCAGCAAAGACATACTGACCGGGAAGGTCTCAGTGACTTTTTCTCTAGCTTCCTTTGGAGTGATGTTTGTTTTGCTGACTTAGATGCGTCGCCTGTTTGTTCATCGATAATTTTCAATACTTCTCAAGGAGTAGCGTTCCTTTGCTTACGTGCCAGAATGGAATGATTGCAACCGACTCCAAGGCTGCTTGCCAAGATCTTTGCTGCCTACTCCACAATGGACGCTCTCCCTAGCGCCCGTGTGATGTCGGGTCCCCAAGGAAAGAAACCTTCAGGCATACGACCATAAGACGGATGCTCTTGTCTTTTAACATCAACGAAGCATTTGAAACAGACCTGATTGCTGCTATTGTTCGAAAAGTATGTGCAGCGGAGCTTACTCCAGTTCTTTCGCATCTCATTCAGAAATCTTACGAATCTGCTAGTTTTGTCAGTGAAATGGAAATTTGCACGTGTCTAGCCCAACTCAAAAAAAGGATCCAAGATCGATCCTTACAACTACAGACCTTCAGCGTTGTTGTCTGTTATCAGCATAGTGAAGTGCATAAACAGAGAGTTTTTAAAGAATCTTGAACATCACGGCTTGATTAGAGACAGGCAATATAGTTTTCCGGCACCAGCTTTCAACGAGAGACCACCTAGCTGACGTCACACAACTGTGGGGTAAATTGAACCAGTCACATGGTAAACCTCATGTGGTTGGTCTTGACCTTGACATCACGAAAGCTATAGCCTCTTAGAGAAGCTTTGCAGATGGGTGGCTGACTCGCTCTCCTACCGCAAGATAACCGTAGTAATTGACAGTTTCACCTCTTCGTCCCACAATATCGACACAGTTTTTCTCCAGTTACCTGTCCTGGTTGAAACATTGTTTCTAGTATATATCAACGACCCGCTCTCCTTCATGATCAGTCCCATCCACAGCTTTGGCGATGACAACATTCTACACGCAGGAATTCAGCGACTCCTTCTCTAACGAGAGACCTGGAAGCTATCACCGCTTGGGGACTCAACAATCTGGTACAGTTTAATGCTTACAAAACATAGTCACTACCTTGACCAACAAGAAGTGCCCTAGCGCTCATTTGGATGGCCGCGTTCGGTCACTGAGGACTTGATTAGACACGAAAACATTTCGTCAATAGTAACAGCTGCTGATAAAATGCTGGGCTATGTCTTCAGGGCTAAAAAGTACTTTTCTCCGCACAACCTCCTTTATACGAGTAGAAGACCTGGATAAGTTCTGGCTTGCTCTGTCTACATTGATCCTACTCGAAGCTCTTCAGAGGAGGGCTGTTCGACAGATCAGTTTCACTATTCTAACGGACAGTCTTGGGAGCTTTTTGCACCGACGGGAAGAAGGTAACCTTGCTCTCTTCTACCGCCATGACAATGGGCTTTGCTCCGCAGAGCTCATCTCCATGATGCCGCCGCGCGTTGAACCTGCCATTCTGCCTCCCAAACCAATTTTGTCGAATTTGATTGTAAAACAAACTACATGAGGATGCTTTTCCCAGGTCTACTAACGCAGCTTCCTCAGGCTTCTCATAGCAGCCGCGGTGCCCTAGTATTTAGGCTTCTTATGTCTGCGCAGCTGCTTTGGTGCAAAATAACTCATGCTACTTGACCTAATAACACTTCTGCCTCAATTTAGTTAGAAGAACCAAAATCAGTCTAACATTTATCTCTTTATCGATCGTTATTTCAGCCTCATGATTTTCCGTTGAGCAATTTCATATCGCAGCTAGCGGCGTGTCCAGGTGGGTGTCCCAGGGGTCTAGACCATCCCCGAAATATCCGAGTATAAAAAAGACGAACGTATTTTTCAATTAGCGCCCCCTCGATAGGGACATCTTCATGAACATGAATTCTGCGCGCTCCACCTCCCAGCACTTTTTTGAGCGGGGAATTTCAAATGCATTATATAGGCCTCGAAAAATATTTTCAAGATCTGCCCCTGATGGCAGCACTTCTTTGTTCCTAGTGTGTCGATTTTGTGGCACAATCTGCATGAGAATGATTTTCACAGCTCTGTTAACCTTAAGCAGTTCAAAAATCGGATTAACAGTTACTATTTTCCTTATAGCAGCCGCGGTGCCACGATGTTTAGGTTAATGCTTACGCAGTTACTTCAGTACAAAAAAACTATTTTTGCTACCAGCATGCGGAAAGTACTCACTTTCAATAGGCATTTGCGTGCCGAAAGTAGCACTTTTCCGCAACCTAACACTTGCGGAGAGCGCGTGCGCCGTAAGTAACTATACTAACTGACATATAAATCCGAACACCCAGTTTAAATGGTTTAATTTTAATAAAAGTTGGTGAATGTATTTATCTTACTGTAAATAACAAGTGAAAAAAATTTCAGCCTTATCAGTTGGACATTCCGGTTTTTATACTGCTTTTTTTTAATTCACTAACGCTCTAAAAATGAATATTTCAGCCGCAGTAAAGAATCAACGTTGGCGGATTTTGGTTCTTGACATCCTTTACGATCGGTTACAATGCCTAGAGTGCGGAGACCTGTACGATTTCGTCAACTTAGTGAGTTTGATAGGGGCCGTATAGTGGGACTTCGGGAAGCTGGACTTTCTTTTCGGGCAATTGCAGTTAGAGTGCAAAGAAGTGTAGACACTGTGGTTAGGTGTTGTCAGGCATGGCTTCGAGAAGGCCGTACGCAAAGAGCAAGGGGTACTGGACGCCGCCGTAGAACAACAGACCGTGAAGATCGCTTCCTAAGATTATTGGCCTTAAGGGACCGTTTCTCCACTACCAGGTCCATTGCAAATGAATGGTTTGCAGAACCCGGAAGACCTATTGGCATGCGAAGTGTTTACCGACGAATGAGAAGTTTTGGCTTGTTTTCATACCGGCCACACTGGGTCCTCCCTTTAACTCGAGAACACCGACGTAATCGCCTTGAGTGATGCAGACAACGGTCACTCTGGGATCAGGAATGGAACAGTATTGTCTTTAGTGACAAGTCTCGATTTTGTTTAGGTATGCACGATGGTCGTGCCAGGGTTAGAAGGCGACGTGGTGAAAGGAGGAATCCACAGTTTTTTGTTGAAAGACATGTTCATCACACTGTTGGAGTTATGGTTTGGGGTGCTATAGCTTATGGTTCCAGGTCATCTTTAATCTTCATCAGAGGTAACATGAACGCGCAGCGTTATATCCACGAAGTTCTTGAACCCCATCTTTTACCCTATCTTGACACCCTGGCAGATCCAACTTTCCAACAAGATAATGCCCGACCACATGTTGCAAGAGTCACAATAAACTTCTTTCAACATAATGATGCCACATTGTTACCATGGCCACCAAGATCTCCCGACTTATCCCCAATTAAGCACGTGTGGGATATGATGGGTAGGAGATTGCTCAATTTGCAACGTCCTCCTCAGACACTAGAAGCACTTCGGGAGGAGTTGGTGGTTGCCTGGAATGAGATACCACAGGAGGACATTGACCGCCTGATCAGAAGCATGCCTAGGCGCGTTGGAGAATGCGTAGCACATCAGGGTGCATCCGCACATTATTAAAGGTCAAAGGGCTTTAAAGCAGTGCAATCATTTTGAAATTTTTATCATTTACTTATTATGCTTCATTAAGTACTTGTACAAAGTTTTATTAAAATAAAACCATTTAAACCGGGTGTTCGGATTTATATGTCACTTAGTATATTCCAGCAGGTTTTTGTCTATTTTGGTATGGTATGATATGGTATTCGGTATAGTCAATATGATTAAAAGTACAAGCGCGAAACACTCAGTGGCTTACTACATGCCAAATCATTGCCAAATCTGCCAAGGGTGATTGGGAAAACGTCAAAACGAGTTCCAAACCGTTTGGACGTTTGCACCGATACACACGTGTTGGCTACAAAAAAGTACATTCTCCTTGCCTTAGTCGAATATGTCGGATGAAGAGGACGAAGATGAAGAGAAGGGGGAGACGGGTGAAGGAGGAGAGGGAAAGGAAGTTTATCCTTATGGAGAATACGAAGGAGGTAAGAATATATTTATTGATGAATAGTGCATTGGATTTAATAAGATGAGAAGTTAAAATCTTGCTATAGTGATAAAGCGTGAAATATCATGCAAGTAGATATGTTCCTAACGAAAAGTAAATTTTCGACATGCTGAACTCAAAACCATGATGTCTTGCTTTGAAAATAAGTTGCAAGCGATCTCTATCCAACAGACCGTACCAGGAATATCGAATACCAGACGTCAGTTAAATTTTCAAAGTATTGTAAAGATTTGACGAAGGAAATGTGATGCTTGTCTTCTAATGTTGATTCCTACTCTCAACTTGTTCACTCAGCATTTTCAGTCAACATTACAACGACAAATTTCAAACAACAACATTCCAATGACAAACCGAAGTATAAGTTTCTACTTCCAGTTCTATATGAGCCATAGAAAGCCAGGATGGTCCAAGTCACAAAAAGACGTTTCCAAGATTTAAGGCTTTAAAGTTTAGATGCAGCTGATAAATGTAGAGTAATAAAAATGCAGTAAGAAATCAAAATACCCTTAAAGGTAGATTCAATTTAAGTATCTTATCATAAAATACATGAACATTTTGTGTTCATGTGTTTTTTTTTCATATGTTTAAGCTTTAGCCCACTCTGCCGTAAAACGGTTCTTACCTTTGGTTTCATATTTGTATAACGATTATAGTAAAGTAGAGTACTAAAGTAGAGTTACACAACATTATATGAATAGATAATTTTATTACAAAACGACAGAAAGCAATCTCCATACATTAAAAAATAATGTATATTTTCTACACAAAAACTGTACTGTACTGACGCGACCTTATGGAATTGCTGGAAATTCTCGAGTCTGTTCGCCTTCTTCTTCTTCTTCTTCTTCTTCTTCAGTAACAAGCAGTGGTCCGGTATCTGGCAAAGTTGCATCTGTCTTCAGATTCTTGAAAAAACTGTGATGCACTGGTGGTACGAATTCGAGAAGCTCTTCCATGTTTTCTTTTTGTCGTTGACAGGAAGAGGGGATTCATACCAAGGAGGTAGGTTTATATTTTTGAAGTTTTTGGGTGCGCCTTTTCGATTTGGTAGTAAATTTATAAAATCATGGAAATTCTTTATTCAAAGTTTCTTTATAAAAAATTTTGTAAGGTTCCTTTTTCTCAAAGTGTAGCCACTGGATCTGGAGCCATGATACAGTGGCATGAGTACCATTTTTCTTTCGTCTTGTTACAGCTTTCTCTAATGTTGTTGATGAGAAAAAATCAGACCGTTCCATCTCACAGACGCAAAAGGGTTTCCTGCATGTCCTTATTATTATACCAGTCTTCTGGCACGTACTTGATGCTACTTTTTGCCCGCTTGACACTACTATTGAAAACCAGAGTGGGTTCAGTCACACTTGTCCCGTTCTGCCTCATAACGGTTACAGCTTTCCATTGACATATAAAAACAGACTGGTGCCATATGTGTGCAAAACGAAAAGATACATTTTTAAAAACTCTCCCAGACAAAGATTCATCCATCCAGAACAGTATACACATAGAATCTCGATATCTGAAAATTTGGACTTGGACCGTCATGGCTTTCAACGGCTCTATATAAGCTTTTTTCAATATCACAGTATTCAGGCTTTTAACAAAATATTTCCATTTAGAGCATAGTTGTTATGACAATACTCAAAATGGCACGCGTTAAATGGCAAAATGTTCTGTTTTGTCGCTTGGCTATGCATGCTGTGATTGTCCGTAGGTGGTAGTCGGTCTCTAACTGTCAAACGCAGAGGTACCACCCGGCAGATCTGGTAGGCAGGGCCAGAATGTGTAAATGTTGCATGCATACGTGTATCCTCGCTAGAGTCCATGTGGCGCCCCATGGGTGTTTAAGCAGGATATCCCAGAGTAATTTTTCAACCGCATCGATGCGTATAAGACATAAAGGAGTAATAGGCAAGTTTTTTTTTAATGTCATAAGAAATGGTCGTGAGGCCAGTGAGACAGTACACTAGAAATCGTTTTATTTTATTTATTGAAATCCACCACCAACAGTGTTAACCAATTACTGGTGGCAAAACAACAATAGAGATAGTAAAAAAAACATATAAAAATACAACGAAAACTAAAAACTAAATCATTTCACTGCAAACTCTCTTAATATTCGAAATACTTGTGTTGAACAAATAAAATGTACTCTGTAGACTATTATAACATGAACACATCGAGTACAAAGGTGAGTGCAACAGTAAGTTAGTTCGTGGGGTAGGTAGGTAAAAAGTGAGTGTACGGCGAGTAACAAATTTTGGAGCATTAAATTTAATCTGTGTTAGAAATGATGGACAATCATAACTGCTATGCACTACTTTATGCAGGAATATTAGCGAGTGAATCTTTCTTCTGTTATCAAGACTGATAAATTTGTGCTTGCGTAACAGGGCTTCCTTTGGGACCCCAATAGGTGGGTACGTACCGTCAATTTTGAATGAAAGAAATTTCAGAAATTTCCGCTGAATCTTCTCCAGAGAGCCACAAGTTGTAACATAGCATGGATTCCATATTAGCCGTCCATATTCTAATTTAGACAGTATGAATGAATTATAAAGCATAATCATGGCATCTTTGTTACTTAATTCCTTTGAGTTACGTATTACAAATCCTAATAATCTGTTGACAGCATTAATAAGGTACTCAATATGAGGATTGAAGCTAAGTGACATGTCAAAAATCACACCCAGGTCCTTGCATTCTTGTACTCTCAGCAGAGAATGATTGCCAATTCTGTAGTCAAATGCAACAATATCTAGCTTTCTGGTGTAAGACATAACACTACATTCACTGTAGTTAATTGGAAGTCGATTTACAGCACACCACTTAACTATTTTGGCTAGGTCTTTTTGTAAGTGAGCACAGTCAGTGCTGCAGTCGACATTGGAAAAAATTTGCAGATCATCAGCATAGATTAAGTGGCTGCTGTCGATGTCGCTAACAATATCGTTTATGAACAGTATGAAAAGCAAAGGACCTAAGCAGGAGCCTTGAGGTACCCCTGAGGTTGGGAAGAATTCAATGGATTTGACACCCTCATATTCAACATATTGCTTTCTTCCTGATAGATATGACTTAAGCAACAGCTTGGGGGAGAATCCAAAATAGCGCAGCTTCGTTAACAGAATACTGTGATCAAGTTTGTCAAATGCTTTACTAAAATCTGTATAAATTACATCCACCTGGCTATTAGCATCTAATGCAGAGGAGACTGACTGAGTAAAACAGGCTAGGTTAGTTACGGTTGATCTACCCTTCATAAAGCCATGCTGAGAAGTACTTATTTGGGAATGTGTATTGTGGTATAGGAAATTATGAAGCAAAGTTTCTAAGGCCTTGGAAAAGATACATACTAGGGTTATCGGTCTATAATTTTCAACCTGTAATCTATCACCCTTCTTGAAAATGGGACGCACCTTTGATTCGCCCTAAATTTCAGGAAACGTGTCAGTCTTTAAACATAGGTTGAAGATCTTTGTCAAGGGATGAGCTAAGACGTAGGCACAGTCACGCACTTAAAATGATGGGATTCCATCGGGACGGAGGTAAATTTATTTTTCATTTGCTTTAACACTGTAAAAACTTCTTCGGAAAAGCTCTGAAGTATTATGTTAGTATGCAAGTCCGAAATATTGATATCAGTTGCGTTCGAGGGCATAGTATATACAGATTGAAAAAATAGCGCAAAAGCATTAGCAATTTCATTGGGTTTGTAGTTATATATATATATATATATAGTTTACTAGGCTTATTGTGGAATTTTGTCCCCTTTTATTACAAATAAATGACCAGAAATTGTTCGGATCCTGAGATAGGCTACTTTGGATATCTACTTGATATTTTTGACATGCGTTACGCTTAATTTTGGTCCTTAAATCTTTGAACTCAGTGTATGTGATCAAACTTTTATCCTTTTTAAACTTGTTGTGTAGCAAATTTTTTCTTTTAATGTCTCTAATCATTTCACCGTTAAACCAAACTGGAAATTTGAGAGATCTGAGACTTGTCCTAGGGACACACATATTAAAAATTTTACGAAGAATGTTATAAAATGTTTCCAAAGCTACGTTTACATCTGTTAAATTATCAAGAAACGTCCAATTAACCAAGCTTATTTGTTCATATAGTGCTAACAAATTGGCTTTTCTGAAATTATATGATTCTCTGGCGCATTTGATACTCTTTTTAGAATGGAAGCTCATGTTGATTATCATGACAAGCGGAGGATGGTGAACATCCCCAGGTAGTAGGACATCATAAGCCTTAACGACGCTACATTGTTTATTTGATAACACTAAATCTAATAGCCTATTATTTTCATTCCGAACATCATTGGTTTGTTGGTTTGTCTCTAAAAAACCTCTCACTATCTAACCCAATGAAATAGCATGACAGCTCAGTAACCAGACTGAAGAGATGTCCTGCCGAGCTTGCTCCGGTTTCTTGCCTCACCACTCTGGCACTTTCCCAGAAAGCTGGAAACCTATCCCAAAACGGATCTAAAAACGACCCTCACAACTACAGGCCTACAGCTCTGCTGTCTGATATATGTAAGTAAGGAGATGGAGGGATTGGTGCATAAATCGGGAGCTTCTGAAATGCCTCGAACTTCTCGGGCTGATTAGCGACAGGCAGTATTGTCTCCAGCAAGGCAACTGCGGAGTAAGCTCATCCAGTCTTATGGTAAGGCTCATGTCGTTGCACTTGATATCAGCTGTGGCATGCTGCCCTATTATGCAAATTTCCTGTGGCCTCCCAGAGAAATTTTGCAGATGGGTGGCTGACTTCCTCGCTGGCGCCGCAAGATATCCATCGTAATTAACGGGTTCTCCTTTTCATCCACGACGTTAACGCGGGTGTTTCCCAGGGATCAGTTTTAGCTCCGACATTGTCCCTCTTTCATATCAACGGCCTCCTTTCCTGTAAGGTCAATTCAATCCACGGCTTTGCTGATGAGAGAGCTCTACATACAGAACTTCAGAGTGACAGTTGGCTTACGACTATACCAAGATCAGATTTACCATGCCATCTCCGGCCGCCCATAATTCTTATTCACAATTCGCTTTTTTATTTACAAACTGAACTACGTTATTCTTTCAATTATTTCTTATTAAATAGGTAGGGACGATCAACTAGACAGACATGGATTTGGTAGTGCGTTGCTGCCCAATGGTGACATATACGAAGGGGAATATCACCATGGAAAGAGGCATGGTAAAGGGATGTACTGTTTCAAAAACGGTGCAAGGTATATAGGAATGTGGAGGAAAGGACTGAAGCATGGTAAGGGGGATTTCTTGTATCCAGATGGAAGTAAGTACTCGGGAGATTGGAGGAAGGACCTGAAGCAGGGTCAAGGTAATAAACAGGAATATTTATTTGTTTTATAAGCCGGGTTCTCTGAGTCAGGATACGGAAAATAATCTCGAAAACCGCGAGAAATTCTACCAAAGCGTAGATGTGAGGTTTTTCCCCGCTATTCGAACTTGATCTTCAAGGTCAATTTATAAGAATGCCCTTTGTGATGTCGTTTTCGAGGTTAGTATATCGATTAGAAATCGGACCTTGATCATGATCTCAAAAGGCCAAGGGCTCATCTGAACGTAAAATTACCTTCTCTATGCTTTTTCGGTGCCAAGTATATTAAGTTTCAATTAAAAAAAAATAGCTGACCTTGAAATGAGCTTTATGTTGAATTCCAGATAAAATTCGAGATCAGTGTCAGACAACTGAAGGCAAATTCTAAGCCTATGCTTGGGTAGAATTTCTTCAGGGAGATTATTTCATGGGTTAGATATTACTTACTGACAGGATCATGACACTTAGAGGTCAAATGTACAGTTTTTCATTCTACTCATTTCCGATTTCAAAGGCAAAGGTCAAGTTCAAGGTTACCCTCAGTTCATTAGGGCAAGACTATACACCTGTGCCTAGGTAGAATTTCTTTTAGGTTTCCGACATTATTTGCCGTATCCAGACTTTTCACCACCCTATATACAGGGTGTTCCAGGAATAAGATGGCAATTTCTTAAACGAATGTAGAAAATAAAATAAGGCCACTGGTTCCCATAAAAATATCCCACGGGGCTCTCCTAGGAAAATACTGATCTCTACAGGATGCTTCAGGAAATTGATTTTCTTAGGTTACCTTTGACCGACAATGTCTGGCTCTTGGCCTTATTGTACCACCAGTCTAGTCAGTGATGTAACATTTGGTACAGTTTCCTTGCAGGTACTGTTCTAAGCTCTCTCGGTTCTTGTTTTGGTTTCCCGAAGAGTTGATGTCTTTTGTGATCCAAAGACTTGCATTCTACATAATTCCTGTAAGGCTGATTCCGTTCCTTTTATTACTGTAGGCCTTCTTAAAGCCATGAGTGGCGCCTGACTGTCAGTGTATATGGCGATCCTTTTAATAATGTGTGCTTGCTAATTATCTACTCTTGCGCAATGCAAGATTGCATAGACTTCTGCTTGATATATTCTAAGTGGTATATTATGCCGAGGATTACACCTGTTTCTATATAACATGAGCAATTTTTCTTAGTACCATATACACCAATGTCTTAAGGGAACCGAGATAAAGGGCTCTGCAACATCAAAAATATCTTAATACTGTCCTGTAGACGCGACATCCCCGAGTGGTACTACTACACTAGCTCAACCCGACGACAGAACTAGAAAATCCACACGCTGTCCGTCGGGCACATTTTCAACAAACATTTTCGGTGAATGTTTGGGCTGGCATGGTGCTCATTGGACCATTTATTTTCCCAAATCGATTGGACGGGATGCAATACCTAGACTTTATATGCAACATTTTGCCTTCCTTGTTATAAGATGTGCCATTAAGTGTAAGACAATCAATGTGGTTTCTGCACGATGCTCATATTTGTTACCTCTGTTCGTGGTCTGCACCACCGCCGGCGTCTTCTCGGTAGCGCATCAGCTGATTTCATTTTCTGTTGGAGCGGTATGACTTCGGGCAGAGACGTACTTAGCCCTTCTCGTCAACTGGAGAGTGAGTACTTTTTCCTTTATTTTTTTACTTGGTCGCCCTCGTTTCACTACACATTACCTTTGTTATTTCAAGGGTACTTGTTTCTGAAAAGGAAAACCCCAACTTTGCGGACACCCTGTATACCTGTACCTATTTTCTGATCAGTTTTTGATCTGTCTGTGTATCAGGTGATTTCCTCTTGCAGGTTGTGCCGTTGGTATTCCATTCGATTTCTCATTTTGGCACCGAAAGTTCTTTCTGAATACAGATCTGGAAACTATGTGATGTTTCCTCGTGTCAAGTGTCTCGCTTGCTACAGATTTCCTTATTTGATTGTACGATTAAAATGGTAGAGCGTTGTCTCATCTTTGGCCACCACACCAGATATGCATAGACTGCCGTGTTTAAAGTTTAATTCGAAGAAATTTTACCAGTGAAGTGATAAGTTGGAGCGCTACGTAGAACAATTGACTTGTTTGGAACTCGAGAACCGGACTAGCATTAACGCAATATTGTATATACAGGGTGACTTCGAAGTTGAGTCATTTATTTTAACAGTGAGTAGATCTGATCAAAATAAATGTTTTTTTCCTTTACCATTTTTGTGGTAAAATTAAAGTAACAAAGTTATAGCCCTTTAGAAGTTTGAGTACCGCCCTGTCTCAATAATAATATTATGTGCTCGTGTTTGGCGATAACGGATATACTCCGCCTTATCGGTTCATCGCATCGGAAACAAAAAAGCGAAAGAATTTGAAACGCTGATCACGATGTTTTTATTCAGTCGGTAACGCGTGAGTGAATAGTGGTGATTGCTGCGTGGCTCAAACAAAATAAAAAATGGCACATATTTATGCGGATCGGTTTCCCAATCGAGTGCAACCAACCCCTCGTGCCTTTGTTAATGTAGTACAACGGGCTCGTGAATCAGGTGGCTTAAGACCTCACAGGGGACTACATGCCGGTGCTCCAACACCTCACGATCAAATACAGGTCCGCACTGAAATACTTGTCGGGAGGATACTTTATAAAACAAGGTAAAAAAATTTTTTTATTTTTTTTTATTTTTACACACATATTTTGGTTTATCTTCCTTCTACAATCATTATCTGAAAATTAATGACTCAACTTCAAAGTCACAATTTTTACACCTTGTATAATAATGACTCATAAAAAATATTTCTAGTAGCATCTCTGCAGGGGAGGCGTTCAACATTTTCTATGGGACCCCGTGTGGCTTTATCTTTCTATGTTTTTCTGTTATTGGCTGAAGCTGTGGACAGAGAAGCTTCGTTAACCGTAAAAAGTAACAGGGATCAGACCATTTAAGGGTTCTTGGTTGGATTTCGATGATGGAGATATTGTGAATTTTATTTAAGTTTACAACTGCATGTGGACCAAGCTAAGAAATGTTGTACACTGGATTTTTCAACCTTTGTTTCCATTGTAATAGTTTCTAGCCGTTGTCCTTTTTGTCAGGTACCTACTTCTTTCCAAACGGTGACACATATGAAGGATGCTGGTTCAAAGGATTGCGACATGGTCTCGGCACTTATACATACAAAGCTTGCAACGTAACGCACTACGGGACGTGGACCAATGGACGCATGGAAGGGCCTGGAATAGTAAACTATCCATATTTTCGCTATCATGGTAGTTTTCATAAGAATTTGCCGATAGGAGTTGGGTAATTGCTCATATCTGTTAGGTACATTTAAGAATTCCGAAGTGCTACGAAATATTCTATTTGAAAATACTTGATTTTAGTGTTGATGTATGAAACATATAAGGACCTAAAACGTGGCTTTTTCTTTGTTTTGATCCAACCTATCGATGTACATTCTGGTAACAGGACGATTCTGTATTTTTCTGTGACCAGTTTTGGGATCCTTTTGGAATCGTCTTATTACTGTGAATCATATCCAATGATGATCGATCCGTTCTAATACGATACCAGCACTCAAGGTTTGAATAAAGCTGTTGAAAGCGTCAAGTATCGTGCGTTAAGGAAGGTCATGTGATTTCGACGTATCTAGTATAAGTTGTGTGACATTCAAAGTTATAGATGAACACAAACTAACATGTCCGAATTATGTGACGCTTGTCAGCTATGCTACAAGGTTAACAAGTATTAGTGAATATTGAGTTTCTGAAAGAGGATTCGTTTTTTTTTCTGAAAGATACATCTGGTGAAGATACATATATATCCTTGTAGCGCGCTGGCAATAATACAATATATTTGCAAATAGACACATCTATCGAAGCATAACAAAATAAGAAATAAAACACTGCTCAGTAAGCTCGTACTCTCAATATACTGGTACATAGATAAATATGCTTTTACAATCATTCTTAATATAAAATAGGAGACAAATGATAATAGAAGAATGATAAGCGCCAAATAAGAATAAGATCGGACCTAATACTGATTCTTGAGGTACCACTACATTTATATTCAATTTATTTCAAATTTAATGCCTTAACAATTCTCGATTGATTATTTAAATATGATTCAAACCAACTGAGTGAGGTTCTAGTAAAACCTTATTTGTTTCATTTTTTTAATAGGACATCATGATGTACACAGTCAAAAGCTTTGGAAAAGTCGCAAGAAAGAGCTATGGAAATCTGTTTATCGTTTACATTTGAGTATAACTATTGGAGTAATGCGAAGATAGCATCCATGATATTTTTTGGTTTGTAATTCAAATTGGTTGTTACTTATAATTTTGTTAGTTTTTAGTATCGAACTTTAACTATTTTTGGTTATTTTTGCTATAGCAGCAATTAAACTTATGTGTTTATAATTTTGATGTTTTTAAAATGCCTGGGACTACTGTATTTGCTCTGCCCGTAGCTTAGATTCCGAATGGGTGCACGTATGTTGTACTTGTTACTGTGGCCCTTTTTTCGACTAAGAACCTTTGTCACCGCCTATTCATAGTACCAAACAAGTTTGATTTCTATCTTTGGCTTCCAAACTTTGCCACGTGGTCATTACTGATGCTCTATACTTGAGATTTTCAAGAAATCGCACTTTAAATAGTAAACTACCTGCTTTCTTGGTAGTTTTCAAGTTCTTAGTGTATCCGTAACATTGGTTACTTTCGACAAGGGATGGAATCAGTAACAACTGATATTTAAAACGACTTTGAACTCGAAGCAACTGTGACTGACGACAAAAAGGAAACTTTCTTCATTATTTCAAAATGTACCTAAATGTAAATTCTTGGACAAGCAGCGGTACCAACAATTTATTATACAGTCTTTATATACAGGGTTTCCGCAAAGTTGGGGTTTTCCTTTACACGACGTGTAGATCTTGAAAACATAAGCAATTTTTCTTAGTACCATATACACCAATGTCTTAAGGGAACCGAGATAAAGGGCTCTGTAACATCAAAAATATCTGAATACCGACCTGTAGCCGCGACCCGCGACATCACCGAGTGTTACAAGGTCACTGGCTCAACCCGACGACAGAACTGGGTCGGGGTCAGTGTGTCAGGTCAGTATGCAACCTTCAACCGACATTACGGTCACGCGTGTAGAGGTAATCGCGTAGACGAGAATCCCTCAACAAGCACTAGAGACGTGGCTAGAGAAGTGCAAGTTTCAAAAACTAAAGTGTGGCAAACGCTGCGTGAAGAGGGGCTGTATCCGTTTCACGTCCAACGTGCACAAGCCCTTCAACCTGACGATTTTCCAGCAAGAGTGCGGTTTTGTGAGTGGTTGTTGCATCAACATGACAATAATCCGGACTTTTTGAAGTGCATATTGGTGACAGACGAATCTACGTTCACGCGTAATGGGGTGAATAACTTTCGCAACACTCATGTTTGGTCAAAAGAAAATCCGCACGCTGTCCGTCGGGCACATTTACAACAAACATTTTCGGTGAATGTTTGGGCTGGCATGGTGAACGGTATGCTCATTCGACTATTTATTCTCCCAAATCGATTGGACTTTTTACGCAACATTTTGCCTTCCTTGTTAGAAGATGTGCCATTAAGTGTAAGACAATCAATGTGGTTTCTGCACGATGATGCACCACCCCATTTTAGACGCGAAGTGCGTGAGTTTTTGAATGAATTATTTCCGAATAGGTGGATCGGACGAACTTCGTCGTCTCAGAATTGAACAAGCTGGTGCTTTCATTCGGGGGCGGGAGTCCATTCTCAAAGCCTGCACCGATGCTTGGCTACGCCGTGCATGCACCTGTGTTTTTGAATCAAACGGCGATAACTTCGAACAATACCTATAAAGTACGTTTACCTAAAAACTGAAAACGCGGCAACGCCGTCATATTTGTTACCTCTGTTCGTGGTCTGCACCACCGCCTGCGTCTGCTCGGTAGCGCATCAGCTGATTTCATTTTCTGTTGGAGCGGTATGATTTCGGGCAGAGACGTACTTAGCCCTTCTCAACTGGAGAGTGAGTACTTTTTCCTTTATTTTTTTTTACTTGATCGCCCTCGTTTCACTACATTACCTGTGTTATTTCAAGGGTAGTTGTTTCTGAAAAGGAAAACCCCAACTTTGCGGACATCCTGTATTTAAAGATCCAAGCTTACTAAACATTCTATACGTATTTGTGACCTATAAATATGTAAGAGCCAAATTTTGCTTCGCAGATGTTTCACATTCGATGCAAAATATATGCAGCACGGCTTTTACATCAACATGCGAGACCCAGCTTTCGACTACGTTGGCGCCGAGGAATTGGAATTAGAAGGAAGAGGAGCTAATCAAGAGGAGAACGAGTACAGAGGAAACCCTAGAGGCATAGTGCCAATATGGCGTGCAAGGTTAGTATATTGAGTAAGATATTAATAGCACTAGTCTTACATGTAAAGAGGAAACTACTCATTTCTGATAAGTTATACGCCAATCAGCCATTACAAAATTTAGAGTCTGTTTTAGAGACGTTCCTCGAGTGCTGAGTACCGTTTGAGGGTTGATTTATCCTTGGAATAATGCCACAGTAACGGTTCCTTGATTTTCAATAGAGGATTGAACATTTGGTTTTAACAGTAGGCTGCAACAGATGACATCACAGGCTGGCATTGATGTCAGAAAGATTTTTCTTAGCCGGTCACATTTATCTGGCATTGTGTTCATAAATTTGGGACGGATGGTTTATCTGTGCCACAAATATTGCTTAATAATGCAAAATAGCAATGTCATTGATTTCTTGAGTATATAGCAGAATCGCAACCAGATCACGTCTGTGAGATTTAGCGTACAGCCTTGGTACCACAGATTAATAACTACACTACTTAGTAGCTTGGTACACACAGTATTTCACAGAACAATTAAATCTTTCATAATCATTTCATACTGTAAAATACCGAAATTAAAAAGAAATTTAGACCTATAGTGTATTTCCTTTGTAGGTCAATAACTGAGTACAAGACTGAGCTGCTGCCACCTGAGCCAGTACCGCTTCCAGTGAAGGAATCAGTGGAGTCCATGATCGATATTATCGACTATCTTCAGAAGCAGTACGAAGTGGAAGGCTACCAAGTGGAAGAGGAACACAAAGCTACCCCGTCGCCGGTGCCAGCGGAGCTGGAAGTTGATATACCGGATATTGACTTTGATATTTGAGTTGTTGTGTACCCGCGTATCAACGTCGTTTGTTTTTAGAATTTAGCGTTATTGGAAGTAAAATATAATAAACTGATATCAGCTTGATTGGTCAAATGAATTTCATTAAAATCTGGATTACTAAAGTTACAAAAAGCTTTCAATCAATATCCAAATGTGGAGATGTGGTAGACAAAACTGTATTTGCTATGCTAGAGCACCAGTTGCAATTACCTTTTGATGCAAACAGTACAACTATAATCACAGTACGATGATATCATGTCTAGTGGTCTATACAGGGTGTTCATTAATACGCATCTGCACTATCAGTTATAGTTTATGATATAATCTCCAATTTGGATAACAACCTGGTAACAGTTCTTGTCCCTCTCGATTTTAGAAAGGCATTCGACACCAAAAGCCATGATCTACTTCTATCCAAGTGAACTTGTCTTGGATTTGATAAACTGGCACAACGCTTCCTAGTGTACTATCTCAAAGACAGAGAGCAACAGGTGGTTCTGAGCACAAGTATTTCAAACATACAGAATGTTTCTTCAAGGGTACCACAAGGCAGTGCTAGAGCCCCTCTTGTCTTTAATATATACAGGACTTCAAAGTTGAGTCATTTATTTTAACAGTGAGTAGATCTGATCAAAAGAAATGTTTTTTCCTTTACCATTTTTCTGGTAAAATTAAAGTAACAAAGTTATAGCCCTTTGGAAGTTTGAGTACCGCCCTGTCTTAATAATAATATTATGTGCTCGTGTTTGGTTCATCGCATCGGAAACAAAAAAGCGAAATAATTTGGAACGATGTTTTTACAATTATTTTAGTCAGTTGTATACAGTCAGTGTCAGTCGGTAACGCGTTTGAATAGTGGTGTCTGTTGCGTGGCTCAAACGAAATAAAAAATGGCACATGTTTATGCGGATCGGTTTCCCAATCGAGTGCAACCAACCCCTCGTGCCTTTGTTAATGTAGTACAACGGGCTCGTGAATCAGGTGACTTAAGACCACACAGGGGACTGCATGCCGGTGCTCCAAGACCTCACGATCAAATACAGGTCCGCACTGAAGTACTTGTCGGGAGGATACTTTATAAAACAAGGTAAAAAAAAAATTTTATTTTTTTTTATTTTTACACAAATATTTTGGTTTATCTTCCTTCTACAATCATTATCTGAAAACTAATGACTCAACTTCAAAGTATACAGGGTGTTTCAGTTTATTGTTGCATAACTTTAAGATTCGCTGGAACTCTTAAAATTAATGCATAAAGTCTATATAAACATGGGTCGAAAAATGCGTGGCTTCCGAAATACGGGGTATTTAAATTTACTTTCTAAAATAGTTTTTTTAAATATTTCGAACAATATTTGATGTATAACAGTGAAAATTGGTATACGAGGGTTTTTTAGTACGACAAAACGAACCATGGGCATAGACATAGTGTATTAAAATGAGCGAAAATTTTTTCTTAGTGCAATTATTTCCTTTTTGAATGAAAAAACTGATCCTTTGCACTTTTCAACATAAAAAAGCTCTCTTGTGAGTTTTCGTTATAGTTAGCCGTTTTTGAGATATTTCGATTTTTAGGGTTCGATGCATTTTTAATTATTTATGGGAAAATAATATTTTTTTTTACATTTTCGATTTGGGCATTACAAGTACTTAAGATTATCGTTTAGATTGTGTTTTTACAATAATTTCTAACTACAAATAAACACAAAAAACCGAATATTAATTTGTTTAATTTTCCAATATTATTTTTAACAAATTAAATTAATTACTTACAACTAAAATGCTATTGGATAGTTAGGACAAACATACAAAATCTAAAGTAGTTGCTCGAAATGTAAACCCAATTGTTCAATACACAATTCACATCTACGAATGATCGAGCGTGGTATAGCATTATTCAAATAAGGCCCTATTTCATCACAGGCATTCCTGATTCTGTCTATTAGCATATCTCTTGTGGTTACGGGAGTCTGGTACACTTTTTATTTTAGAAATTCCCACACAAAGAAATCTAATTGATTTAGGTCAGGGGATCGTGGAGTCCAGGCGACTGGTCCCCCACGGCCTATCCATCTTTCTGGATAATTTTCGTCCAGCCAGTTTCTAACTATTCTCGAATACTGAGCTGGACAACCATCAAGCTGGAACCAGGCCAATCTTCTTAAATCTAACATAACATCATCCCACATATTTGCATGTTCAGCCTTTAAAGATTCCAAGAAGGTCGCAGCATTTAACCTTGCAGGCAGAAGGTAGGGTCCAAATAGTCGATTACGGTAGATACCAATCCACACGTTCACACTAAATTCATGCTGAAGATTTCTTTTCCGAACTGCATGCGGATTTTCATGCGACCAAATATGTTTACCACTCCACGTCTAGTGAAGCATGACTCATCGGTCCATAAAACGTTACTTAAAAACTCCATATTATTATCAGTTCTATCAAGAATCCACTGACAAAATGTGATCCTTCGTTCTCCGTCCCCTGGCTGTAGTCCTTGCACAGGTTGCAAATGGTAAGGACGTCTATGGTCATTTCTAAGAACACGGTAAACATGACTTGCTGAAATTCCCAAGGCACCAGAAACTCTCCTAACACTTGTGGTCGGATCTCTATCAAACTCACGCAGAATCATACGGGTAAATCTGCGCTGACGAACATTTATGTTTTGACCCCTTCGGAGATTTCCAAAACCATTTTCAATTATTTTTCGATGCACTCTTTCAAATACTGAGCGAGTTGGAGTTGGAAATAATTAAAAATGCATCGAACCTTAAAAATCGAAATCTCTCAAAAGCGGCTGACTATAACGAAAATTCACAAGAGAGCTTTTTTATGTTGAAAAGTGCGAATAATCAGTTTTTTTATTCAAAAAGCAAAAAATTGCACTAAGAAATTTTTTTCGGACATTTTAATACACTACAGGTACAGTAGAGAGCGCCCTCTAGCGGCTACAGTAAAACTGTGGCGATGGTTCGTTTTGTCGTACCAAAAAACCTTTGTACGCCAATTTTCACTGTTATACATGAAATATTGTTCGAAATATTTAAAAAAAAAACTATTTTAGAAATTAAATTTAAACACCCTGTATTTCGGAAGCCACGCATTTTTCGACCCATGTTTATATAGACTTTATGCATTCATTTTAAAAGTTCTATCGAATCTTAAATTTATGCAACAATAAACTGAAACACCCCGTATAAATTGGATTGAAAACTCGAGTGGAGCTTCCTATGGCTGCGGCTTAAATTAATATTGATCTCGAAGGTATTAATGACTATTCTGCTATTGATAAGATGAAATTCAATCCTCAAAAATCAAATGTATTTTTTTGCAGGAAGGGAGATATTTACAAGCATGCTGGAACTTGAAAATAGGCACCACAGATTAAAAATTCAATGATGTATATTTGTATGTATGTAAAAATTTTGGACTACTCATAGACGAAGATCTGACGTTTTTGCATGCAAGTTAACAGCGTCATCAAAAAATTCTATTTCAGGCCGAAGCTGTTATATACCAACCGGCACTCCCCCAGTTTTAGAACAAATAAGCAATAATGCGAGTCATTAATCATTTCCAAAATTTCATGTGGAATCATAGCATATTCGAATGTTTCCGTACAAATCACAGAAAATTCAAATTTCTTGTTGCTGGTTAACAAGTAACCCTAGGAGATATGATCATGAAGCTGGCTTAATCAAAGATTTAGGCTAACTCACACTTCATAAAATATTTACTTTTGTCATTCGGAAATTTTATCATAATCAGTCTTTCATCACTACGTTTATGGAATAAGCTAACATTTAGAACAAGTATTCATGATTTAAATTTAAGGTACACGAGCACATCATCTATACCAAGACATCGAACCGTGATGTTTCAGCGCCCTTACTCACATAACGCCTCTAAGTACAGGGTGCGGCAGAGAGGATGGACGGTTTTAAAAAAATCATAAAATAGTTAATTTTTACTCGAAAACAAATTTATTGATGGAATCAGGTACACAATGAAATAGCATTTGAGACAGTCAAGTGTGGAAAATCACATCAGGCATGTGGTGGCCGAAATCGTGCTGGAGGCGTTCTTGGAAGTTCGCGTAGACTCTCTCCAACATCGCTCTCTCAACTTGGGCGACTTCCACGCGAATTTCGCGGAGATCCATATGCAAAATTCGCCTTACCGAACGATCACTAAGGCGAAGTGCAGCAGCATGTTTCCGGGCAGATCGAGTCGGACTGCGAAGAAAGACCTGTCGAACGCGTTCAACATTTTCAGGAGTTCGAACTGTTCGCGGCGCTCCTCTTGGTCTTCTGTTGATCAGTTCACCACGCCTACGAAGTGACTCAACCCAACGAAGGATGATGTTTCGAGAGGGAACAGCTCTATTCCGATGAATGTTGAAGTGGCGACGAAACTCACGCTGTACGACGATGACTGACTCATTATTTCGGACGAAACAATCATACGGTACGAACATAGTGGAGCGACGAGGTTTCAGATTCAGATATCTGGTAGCGTCTAGAGCGTAGAGGCAAGAGGCACCTATGGTTATAGTAGAGCGTCGCGTTTTGTCGAAGATAGACGTAAAAATATGTATTCCGACAGTGACGATGACATTCTTCTCAATAATACTTACCTGCAAGTGCTTTTAATGACTGGAGTGCGGCAGTGTAGTGTGCACGACGTAAATAAAAGTCGGAAACGCCTAGGGGAATTCCATCATTTATTTCTAGAACTGAAAAATTATCCCGACAGGCTATTTGACTACATTCGAATGGAACTTGCCACCTTTCAGTATATATTAGAACAAGTTACACCCTGCATCAACAAGAAATGGACAAATTTTAATCAAGCGCCTATAGGAACCGAAGAAATGTTGGTGGTAACAATTCGGTAAGAGAATATTATGTATTAAGGATAATACTTTTATTATTCATAAACAAACAAACGGTAACGCAAAATAATATTCTGTCTTCTGAACACAACGAACGATAACTTATAACAACTTATAATGTTTACTGATCTGCGTAATTAAACCCCTGCAACAAATGGGATGAATGTGCAAACGATGTTTGTGGTTGAGA